GAGTGAGTGAGTGAGTGAGTGAGTGAGTGAGTGAGTGAGTGAGTGAGTGAGTGTGAGAGAGAGAGAGAGTGAGTGAGAGAGAAGGGGAGAGAACGGGAGAGGGAGACAAATGAGAAACCAACGGGTTCAATACAACATCACCGTGGAGAAGCAAGCCAATGCAGGCAGAAATACCTGATCGGCTACTGTACCTGCCATCTCCAACAATCATGGAAGTGGAACAGGCGAGGTTTAATATACTATAGAGGAAGGTGCTGTAGTTTTTGAATTAGCGTAAGTTCCCCTTCCATGATCTGATTGTTTTGACTCAGGGCATGTTTGGATGCAAAAAGCCCAAGAAGGACAATAATAACAACCCTGGAGTGCCATATGCATCCAAGAGGCAACCATTGAAGTGAAGCAAACATCAACCAAGCGGCCTTCCGAATTCCATTGAGCCATCGTTTTTCTCACCGATCCACGTTTTTGGTGGTGGACAGAGCCGCTCAGCCACCGAGTCTCGTTGCTTTTGTTCAGCTACTTAGAGCTAGTTTGCATGAAGAGTACAGTAACGTTAGTATTGAGATGCATTGAGTATGGGTCGCTGTTTCTTGACCGGGAGCAACTGAATCGGCTGGTTTGCCACTTCAACACGAATTGAACAATCACACAAGCAGCTGGAAGCCAAGCATTGCTTTTTCACCTGAAAATCGTTTCTCTGAGGCACTGATGATTGCAGGCCTCTACACCTTTGGAGACAATGTGAATGGATTGCTGCTGTCCAACTATGCTGGAACAGATCTGGACGCTCGCCTAGTTGGGGCTGAACCCATTAGGGTTATCCATGTTTCTCGATCACCAAATGGTGCAAAAAGTGTCACAAAAAGAAGCCAATGGTGTCGAGCTTCTTGGAGTTTTGGGAGGCAATCCCTGAGCCAGATGACAGGTTGCCCTGCCTTCCATGCGATCATGGACTTAGACCCCCCTCCAGCAGGACATGCCTCGGTTTGAGGGGCTGCCGGTCAGATATGATGTAAGATCATAGGGGATCATACACTGAGACTTCATCACCAGGACAGGTCCTTACATGACTACCAGGATACAGTCTTGGACGGACAGAGTCCCATCAGACAACCATACTTTGCTGCACTCCGAGTCTACGAAGCAGTTCGCGGGCGAGCGTGGTTTCAACTCAGGCCGCAGCACTTGGAAAGATGGGTGTTTTGCTCAGTGTCCTCTTCGGCTTCCCCTTGAACTTCCTCCTGCTGCGGACTGAGGCCAGTCGACGGAGGTGATCAGCAAAACATGTTTGGGGCCACACTTAAGGTGGTGACACGGTTCACAGCATCTCAGATGTGTTTTGTGCGTTTCTTGGGGCAAAGGCTCTCCCTCTCGGTTTTTGCAGGTCGCTGCCATTGTGAGCAAGACCAGAGGTCAGTTGGATCAGAATGAGCGGCGATTGCTGTCGTCCGGATTGCTGCTAGTGGCCTGGCAGAACTGTTCGAGCGGATGGTGCTATTGTTGGTGGCAGCAGTCCAGATAGAACATTGTTTGCATGTATGTTTGCAGAACATGTCCTCCAACAAGAAATACCAACGCAACCCAAACCTCCAAGACTCTGTGGGGTGTCAATTCTTGATCTAGAAATGTTCCTCGACTAAACAGAGTTCACCAGATTTACCTTCCAGAAGCTGTTTGGGTCTCCAAGCTCAGATGATTGGAAGGTCGCTAGGAGATTTGTTGAATGAAATAGGAACCGCAGTTTTTGTTTTAAGGGCTTGGCTCTTGGTGCAAATCCCACGAGGTGAAGAAGTGAAAAGAAAACCTTGTTTGGTGTTGTCTCTTGGTGCACCCAAAGCAATGGTAGGCTGGTAGGTGAAGAATCATCACAGAATCAGCACGATGCACTTATTCAATTGAAAGCAACCTGAGCCACGCATTCTTTGATTTCAGATGCAGAAAGCTCGTTTGAGAATCACATGGAAAAGGAGCCGCCTTTGGGATGTTCTTCACCGCTCTTTCCTTTCACCCCAAGCGCCACCAGGCGACAGCGCTGCCAGCTCTGGTCCTCAAGGAGGGCGGATGGCAGTGATCGTGTTTTGCATGTTTTTTGGGTTTTGAGATGAAGAGATGTCATACAAAGGGTTGACATGTCAAAGTGCACAAACCACAGCAATACATTTTCCGGGTCATATGTTTATTTATATGCACATCGAATATGTCAAAGTCAGTTTTGTTTTGTACGGCAGGAGGGGTGTAGAGACCAGGTCCAATTCTGAAGAAGGGGTTCTTTGGTCACTGGACCTCATAAATCGTGGAGATACCAGCCTCTTTCGGTAGTCACCATCCCCACCCCGACAAAGAGAGACAGACAGAGAGGTAGGGAGACAAATTAGATATCAAACTCCCTGCTCCAAGCACATGGCAGGACATCGGTGTGGTGCAAGCGACGCTGGGTGCCATTTTCGGCAGCTATTTGGCACCTCGGATTCGGATGTTTCATCCATGCGGAACAACATGTTTCCCTCAACTCGGCAGAGGCATGGTTTGCAGGTCTTGCACATGTGGGTGATTTGTCGAAATATAGCCTTTTGAAGGGGTTTGGTGGAATACGCGCTTTTGGGATCTCCGTTTTGGCGTGTTCGTCCCATATGGGACCTGAAGAGGCTGCCTAGCATGAAATATGTATCAGCCCCAGGTGTCGGGCAACTGGACCTGACAGAACGGAGTTGTATAGCAGTGGGGCCGTGGGGCTCATGTTTGGGTTGGGACCCAGGAGGTTTTGGTTGCCTCTCAATGGATCAAGCCAGCTTGTACTTGTACCATCTTGGACCCTCCAAACTCACCTGATGCACAACTTCCTTTTCAGAAGTAGGCATGTGGATGGCCGAGGGATTTGTCACATTTTGGCCAGGATCAAGAGCCCTGATTTCTTGAGGTCCCATCTAAATAGCTTCGCAGCTTCACCATGTGTCATGTTCGATTTGACAGATTTGACAGATTGCGTATTACTATGATCATGTGTTATTTATTGCATTACAGCATGGGGCATCCAATGAGTCCAATGGATGTGTGGTCTATATATATATATACCTGTGATACAGGAGTCGTCCAGGAGTAATCCAGCAGGGTGACCAGCGGCTGATGTCTACTATGGTTCACTTCTGAGCCTCCACCCTAGTAGCGAATGGCCTCCACTGCTAATTTAATAGCGATGGCCTCCACCTAGTAGCGTCCTTGCTCCTAGTAGCGATGCCCTTGGCGCCGGTGATTTCAGGTCTTCATTGCACCTGCGGCCATGTCACGGGGCCTTCGAAAGCAGAAACGGCTCCGAAACCGGGGCCGGTCAGTGGTGGAGGTGTTGCTCGCAGCGCTGCTGGGCGGACTTTCAGTTCTGGGATGGCTGGGATGGGAAGTGGCGGTACGTGGTGGGGTGGGGATTGAGATGTTTGTGGTAGACGAGGACCTCAGCAGATTCAGTCCTCAACAGGTTGAGCTGGGACTTTTGGGAGCAAATGCTGTGCCAAGGTGGAACACCCACGTTTCGACATGTTTCGACATCCAATAACAATTGTCATCAAGTGTCGCGGCCCTGTGATGGTTCATGCTTGAAAGCTTTTGAGAAAGAGCCAAATTACATGAGGTCTGGAAAGATGGAACCCCTTTTGTTTGAGACGTGGGGACCTTGGGAGTGGCAGCTCTGCCAGGTTTGTTCTGAGCGATGGCCTCCAACCGAATGATTTTGTGCTCGACCGCGAGCGACCCGAGGTGCGGCGTGACCTTGGGCCTTTTGGGGCTCGTCATCAATCTCCGCCGCAGCCTGTAGGCAGGGCGAGATGCAGAAATCCACCACCTACATCCACCTGCATGCCTGTAGTATCCTGTAGTTATACCATGTTATACCTGTATATATATATAATACTACTGTAGGTAAAAATAGTCAAACTGTATATCATATATATATATAAGTGTTTGGTGGTTTCGACTTTTGGACCTCAAAACTGTAGATTGTTCATTGTTCTTCCTGCTTTAGACCGGAAGATGTGGGTTGTGTTCACATGTTTTCACCCCTGCCCCCAACTGAATGAAACCTCACCACCTGTACAATCCCTTATCCTTAAGGGCTATGCCCAACCGAACCCAGGTTCTTGATGCCCACCGCATAGATGTTGATGTTGGGATTAACCTGGTTTGTCGGGCCGGGTGTGATCATCTACACTGAACCCTGGCATTTCGCCCATTGATTTCAACCACCCGGGCCGTTCGCCTGTGGGATCCTCAGCAAAGTCCTGAGAAGGAGGCTTCAGAGCCGTCCAACGCGTCCAATGGGTTCCTGTGGTGCTGTGGGCCAACCTTTCTCATTGAAGATATTTGAAGGACATCAAAGACTTGTTTGCAGCCTCTTGATGAATATAATATAATATTAAAAAATATATATATATATGTATATATATTATATATATAATCCCCCAGAATATGGGACGCGCACGTACGGATGTCAGCGACGGTCCGTGACAACACTGTCCCTTGTTCTTTCAGAACGGGTGCACGTTGCCGGATAGATACAGGGAGCTATCCACATTGAATGTAAACGACCAAATGAACTACGTGAAAACGAACAGCATAGCGGCTGGTGTTGCAGCGAATCCAAGGTAGTCACATCATTTGGATAACGAATTTCTAATTAGTTAATTACGAATTGTTTAGGAGTTTCTCAAGATCCCGCGTCCGGATGCGGGATTTGGTCCAAGTCCTTTTTCCGGGTAATGGCATACTGGACATGTCGAATAAATGCAGCACTTCTATCCAGCGAGACCAGCGGGAAATTGGGCCCATCACATGGCGTGTTTGTAACAGGCAGAGAGGGAAATCAAAAATCTGAGTGGTACGGAGGGTTACCTCTATGTTCCTGGAGAATGTGACGAATAGAGGCGAATGTACCTTGTGCATTAGGGAGTATAGGTCGACCTCTTCATATGGGTGGGTGAAGTATCATCGAGAGACCAAGCATGACCAAGCACTTGGACTTGGTGTGGAATGGCCAGGGGATCTAACAAGAGGTTTCCCATGAATGTGTTCTTCTTTGGTTAGACGAAGCCCGCCCACCTGGTCAAGTACATCGCTCCTTGGGGACGGGCCATCGGGGAAGAATTGTTTAAAGTTGTGGGGACATTCATACTCTTGGGGACCAAACACTTGCACACACCTCAGAATATGCACCGAGGGACGGTTTGGCTCCAGAGTCACTGGGTGGCAGCACCGCCCATCAGATTTTCGGGGCCCTGCTGCCCATGCAGCGGCCACGCAGTACGGAACAAATGATCAGCTGGAGGGTGAGAAGCGGCGCTGTTGGGCCACAAGGTAGTGGTTGGCATTCAGATCATGTTTGGATCGGATTGGAGGTTGCATCATCTACGGGGAGTTGGTGACCGCAGATTGTATACATGTAACATTATGTAAATCCGGATCCATTAGATGATCCATTTGATTGGACACTTCTGGCTCATGATGTGTGAATCTGCGTGAATGGATGTGTCCGCACGCAGTGCGAAAACCAGGTGTTCGATGACTGCAAGGCATTGACTTTGGCCGTCTCAACTCGAGTCATTTGTGTCCTTTTTTGGAGGTGCCTCTCACCCAAAGTTGAGCCAGTGTGGTCATTTGGGGCTGTCTCAGTCTCGGGGGTTCTGCGACAACCGCAGCCGGCGAAAAGAGTGAACTGCCTTTGAGATAGTCCCATCATGAAGGGGGCAGGATGTTGATTTCCCTCACAGTGGGGTTCCTCTTCCTTCGCCAAAGTGCCTCAAAAAGAGGCAAGTAGCCGTGGATCATGCCTGAAAGAAAGGTTGACTAGCACTTTCGGGGGATTGATCAAACATTGATTCAAGAACCACAGTGAGCGCCGCCAGCACTTGCTAGTTTGACCCACAGCTTTTATTGTTTCAGCTGCGATGCAACGTGGGGCGTGGAGATGCCTTGGATGTGAGGAACAAGGTGGATTTTGAAGGTCTTGTCGAAAGTTATGTGGAAGTGTTTGGTGAAGGACTACACGTACCATTCTACACCATTCAAAACATCGCTCGCGACAATCGCAGGTCTATTGTGGGAGGATTTGTTTATTGCTGGCCCCAAGTAGAAGTTTGTAGAACAGGTTCAATAAGTGCAGAGTAGAGCGGAATGTTCCAAGGTGGCCTACATGCCACTCCATCCAAAATGTTCATTGGACTTGTAGAAAGAAACAAAGCCAATTTGAACTTTGAACCTGCTACAGATTCCCGACGTTGGAGAGTTAAGACATGTTAAGACTCTTGGTTCCAATCGCTGGTTGGTGCGGCCAAACTCATCGGCAAGACGAGCCAAGAAGGTCCCGTGATCTGAGTTGGACGGGCCTTTCTCGCGTCGTGTGACGACTGGCTCGGGGCGGAGAGTGTGGTCATCAGACTGGATCGGAAACACATGAAACAAAGACATGAATAATCATGAGTATATAATAGAAGAAAAGTTAAAAAAAAAAAAGAAAGAAAAACACTAGGAACAAGTGCATCGCTACTAGTAACAAGCGCCTTACTAGTAGTTTAGTAACAAGAAGCTACTATATATATATATATATATATATTTTTTTTTCGATCACATGGGGATCATGGGGATCGGGTCGACAGGGCCAATGTTGTTGTGAAAGACAGTCCTTGACAGGCCATGTTCATGGAATTGTCGTCCTTTGCATGTGTGTTCTAATGTTTTGGTCCACGACGTGGGGTTGTGAAATGTCATCGTCTCTGAACTTTCTTGAGATGAAATACATTCAAATGCATCCAAATACCACTAAAAAAAGAGGGGCTGACTCAGCATGATGGTCATCCAAGGAATTGATGTTGCAATGTGGTGGGGAGCGGCACCAAAAGGCACCAAAAAAGCACAAAAGGCACCAAAGGAACACCCGATCACCAGCTCCGAAAGATCTCCCTGACACCAGCCTGAGTCGTTTATATATATATATATATACACTACAAATCCTAAAGTACTACAAATGAACATTAAACAACTGTGCTTCAAACAGTTTGAAGGGACAGTGGCACTAGAAGCCTCAAGCAACACTACCTCCCGTGTCGCTCACCGGTGAGGCGTTTGGCTTCCAAGATGTTGACCGCCTCGGAGGCACGGAACGGTGCTGGCGAGTCGGCAACAGTGGGACAAGTCAGGGATTTGAGCAGTTCTGGATGGGACAAGTCGGACAAGTCATGTAATCTCGGAAAGGTGGATCAGTTTGGCCCCTTGCGTCGGACTCTTGGCCTGCCCGCCGCCTCCATGAGGCAATTTGATGGAGGGTATCCTTGTTTGTAACCAGAGTGGCCGTAGATTTGAAGGGGCTCATGTATGATGGGCGACACTTGTCCATTGGGGCTGTGGCACACGCCTTGTTATGATGAAAAGCCTTTGGCAGTATCAAAAATACAGTTGAAGTTGAAGGCGACAGACTGGGAGAGAGAGAGAGAGAGAGCCGGTTCACTGCTTCAATAGAGGCTAGAGGAGCTCATTAATTTCATCATTTGTTGCATGTTGCAGGTAAGGGCATGCCCAACTTTAGTAGACACCAAGGCCTTGTAGTGCCCAAAGTTGGTGTTTGAACCAACAGCTAATTACAGGCTGCGGCTTAATTGATATACTTATACCTTGTTGTCTTTAGGAAACACGTGTAAAACCAAAGACATGGCATACAATGGCTCTATAACTAGCTGCTTGCCTTGGTTGCCAATCGTTACCTTACTTTCCTTATGGGCACTCCAGCGTGAGACCTTGCTCAGACTCCGCTTGTCGATGACTTTTTGTGGCTCAGATGCGCTAGTCGTAGGAGGGCCTATGACGCACTCGAATCCAAGGTGCTTCGAAGGCCCAGTGTCACCACCATCCCTTTCACCAGAGCGTCTATATAACCAAAATGCAAAGCAGCAAAATGCAGGCTTTTTCACTTGACAGGAGAAAAACCCACCCAAAACCACGAGAACTCCTGGGCAGCACACCCAGCAACCAGGCCAATGGGGAAAGCAACATCACACAGACCCATCAGCCACACCTCAGACACCAAGTGCGAAACTCGGGCGCTCCGAGTTTCCGTGGGGGTCCTAACACCGTTCACCTGGCGAGGGCCTTGGAGAGGGAGGCAGGGTCGGCTATTGTGTGCGACGCAGGGAGGGAGAAGGTATGATGGTGGTGCAGGCCATATCGACCATGCATGTCCTACCTTCCTGGGGTCCATTGTTCGTGGACACTTCGGAGGGATAGCCCACCAGTCTTGACATTCTTGACAAATCTTAAGACTCAAGACAAGCCTTAGGCTGATTCTAGTACTGATTCTTTATGCATCTTTTCAGTTCCGCAAGGCTCTCTCCGAACCGCGTGCCGTGCCAGATTCCCTGCATGTCCACCGTGGCATGGTGGAGACGATGAGTGAAGATGAGACCCCCACCTCTCCAAAGGTTGCGACTGTTGGAAGAAATCGTTTGTTTGCAACGATATGTGTGCACAAAATCAAAAGGTCGATGGAAGGACTATGTTCATCGAGTGTGTTTTGAATGGGCTCTTTCCGACTTCGAGAAAGTGCTGCATCATTCTATTTTTGGTGGAGGACCTGCGAAAGATCCAAGTTTACACCTGGCCCTCTTTGGACTTCTACATTCTAGGATGCATCACCAGGGCGAAATTTCACCACGGGGTTCGCGAACGATTCGCAACAGTACCAAGTGGTTCCAGCAAAGAAGGGCGATTCCATGAAAAATGTGGATCATCCATGTGAAATATTATGAAATATTTCCACCCCATGTTTGGAACTTCTTGATCCAGCTGGGTCGGCACTCGGAGATAGTTTGCCCCTTCGCGCCCATGCCAGGC